ATGCAATTCATCATTGGCAACCACAACAAAAACACAAAGGTAACTGAAACAAAAATAAATTTTTTTTTCAAATTTTTCCTACCCCCAAACTAATGATGACATTGTCCCCAATGTCACATTATGCACAAATTAGGAATAGAAAACAAAATAGAAAAAGGTGCAAGATAGTTCCCTGATTAATCCGTGAAGTTGAAGTTCCGCTCAACAGTGTGCACACTCGGTCCTCAGCTTTTTCATCACCCAAATTCTGTAAAAACAATTGGAAACTGTAGTGTCCACTATGTTAGAAAAATCCACTGACTAATATGAAAGTATTACAACCCTAATCTCGTCTTTACATCAACTAGAAATTAAAACAAGAATGAAACAACTAAAACAACTAACACAATCCCAAAAAAAAAATATCAACTGAGTTCAATGTTCAAAATAAAAGAAAAACAGAAACAACTAAAACAAATACAAATAACGAAAACTAAAACAGGTGCTCATGTGCTCATTCTTTGGCCTCCTCCTCATCCTCGGCGTCATCCTCTTCTGAATCGGAGCCCATCCACTCATCTGAATCCCATTCTTCCCACTGGTTTTCTGAAGTATCAATCTTAAAGTTGTTACAGTAGCTCAGTTGCAGCTCATGTGTCTTCTTGGTCTGCTCTGCCAGTCACCCGTGACGTCGCTCCATCCGTTTCATCTGACCCATCATTTTCTACATCATTTCTCTCATTGGGACTATTGAACCGGATGAGGTGGCAGCTGCTGTTGTTCTCCTTCTCTTGGTGCCTGATTTGGGCCCTTCTTCTGGTTGAGGTGCAAGATGTTTGTGGAAGTAGGTTGTGTCGAGGACTAGGGCAGCATGGATCAGTGGCTCATCATTCTGTACCTCAATTCCTGCTTGAGTGCACAACTCTGTAATGAGATGTGGGAACAGAAAACTGCCTTGCCTTGATTTGGCTACATGTTGAATGTTGTTCAGGATAATTTGTCCCACATCCATTCTCTTTTCTGTGGCAATAGAATACAAAAAAAAAGTGCCTTCTCATACATCACTGTACTGTAGTGCGTTTCTAGCATCATCCTCGCACTGATAAAATACTGCCACAACCGAGCCATCGGTGTCAAATTAGTTCCCTTAATGCTTTTCTTGCCTTTTTTTGAAACTTCCCAAGTGGTGTCTGGTTTTGTAATGACCGGAAGAATAATATCATCCTTAAACTTTGTCTTCTTAAAATCCGCATACTCATCCCGGTCAATGTGAGGTAAGCCATAGAAATCATTGATGACCTTTGCCATAAATACCACATGAGTACCCCTCACAAAAACAACCCCCCATCACATTCAGGGAGGTTGGCATAAAACTCTCTCACCAGTGGTTCCACAGTCGCATGTGCGGGTTCACTCATAAAGTCCTCCCAACTTCTCCCTAGACTCCACTCATCAGCCTAGTTTGCAGTCAGTCCACGCTCAGGGATAAATCCCTTGTCTTTCGTTTTTGCTGCTGCCTCATACTTTTTCCGAGCCTTTTCATTTACAAACCAGTCGTCTACTTTCTTTCCTTTTCCCTTGCCCTTGGATGGTACCTTAACTTTGAGCGGCATTTTCTCCAGAACTACACTTCAACTCAACAATGTGATAAGCATTCATAATATCTATATATTTGTTATATTTCCTCATGTTTTAATGGTTATAAATGCTTAAATCTTGGATTTTGACTATGTTTCGTATTTTGTGGAATAGATTAAGGGGTTAAATCAAATTGAATTCAAAATCAAGAGATTTGGAGAGAAAAAATCAGAGCTCAAAAAGAGATACATTCCAGAAGCGGATTTTGCTTAAAGCATGGGCACGTCCTATTTTCCCAGAATGTTCACAAAAGCAGTCAGCAGATAAAGCGTGGGCGCGCCTTACTGGATCCAAGATTTTTGACCTAGGCTTACAAATTTGCTGGAGAAAAAGATATGCATGACAGTTGGAAAGATTTATTTACCCTTTCTTAATCTCTAGGATTTGCCCAGACTCCCTATTTTGGTGGGATTTGCTTTTAATTAGTTTCCTGATTTAGATAGGGTAACTATTATTAGATGGAGTTATAAATAGGGAGATTATTCACAAGAAAAGGGGAGATCTGTCTCACTCTGTCTCTCTTCTCTTTTTCTTTAGGCATTCTTTTAATTATGTGTAGCTAAATACTTTTCTTCCAACTGGAGGATAATTGAAGTTTTGGTTCTTCAAGAATTGTGAGATCTAAATAATTTTTAGTGTTCTTTTATTTCTTCATTATTTATATATCTTCTATGTTTATTAAAAATTATTGTCTTGATTGATTGATGCAAAGGGCCCGTTGTTCAATTATCAGGTTAATAAATTGCCATTTAGAACTTTAAATCCGTAATTGTTTAGGTGTTCTAATATTAGTGGTAAAATAACATAGTTGATTATAAAGGGATTTTTTATTTATGTTATGAAGATATATAATCTAGTCTAAATGAATCGAGCTTGTGTATTTGTTGGCTAGAATTGGTAGTCTCTCTAATTATTAATGCTGTTGATAGATTAAATCCTAAGAGCTTGTTTAGGGTTGTTTATTGACAAGGAAAGTAATCAAAGAGCTTGTTTTGTTTATCGAGAAAGTAAGGAGAGATAGGTTGTTAGAGCTTGTTAATAACCATAACCAATTTGGTGAAGAATAGAAGATTTTATCCTTGTATCTTCGATCAATTCTCTGAACCAATTCTGAAATTATACCTTTGGTTGGATATTTGCTTGATATTGATTTTTTCCTTAATTTTTAGTTGATTATAATTGCTTTCTTTTTATTTCACTTCGAAAATTCAAAACCCCCCTTTTTGTTTGCTTTAATTTTCATTAAAATAAATCTACCCAATCTCTGTGGATACGACCTTGCTCATCATTGTTACAATTTATAATTTTTTGACAGTGTGAATTTTATTATTTGTTGGATTTGAGACCTACCAAATTTTTGTGGTAAAATAACATAGTTGATTTTAAAGGGATTTTCGATTTATGTTATGAAGATATATAATCTAGTCCAAATGAATCGAGCTTGTGTATTTGCTGGCTAGAATTGGTAGTCTCTCTAATTATTAATGCTGTCGATAGATTAAATCCTAAGAGCTTGTTTAGGGTTGTTTATTAATAAGGGAAGTAATCAAAGAGCTTGTTTTGGTTATCGAGAAAGTAAGGAGAGATAGGTTGTTAGAGCTTGTTAATAACCATAACCAATTTGGTGAAGAATAGATTTAAATGAATCGAGCTTGTGTAATTGTTGGCTAGAATTGGTAGTCTCTCTAATTATTAATGCTGTCGATAGATTAAATCCTAAAAGCTTGTTTAGGGTTGTTTATTGACAAGGGAAGTAATCAAAGAGCTTGTTTTGGTTATTGAGAAAGTAAGGAGAGATAGGTTGTTAGAGCTTGTTAATAACCATAACCAATTTAGTGAAGAATAGAAGATTTTATCCTTGTATCTGTGATCAACTCTCTGAACCAATTTTGAAATTATACCTTCGGTTAGATATTTGCTTGATATTGATTTCCCCTTAATTTTTAGTTGATTATAATTGCTGTCTTTTTATTTCACTTTGAAATTTCAAAACCCCCCTTTTTCTTTGCTTTAATATTCATTAAAATAAATCTACCCAATCTCTGTGGACACGACCTTGCTCATCACTGTTACAATTTATAATTCTTTTGAGAGTGAGAAATTTATTATTTGTTGGATTCGACACCCACCAAATTTTTGGCACCGTTGCCGCGGATTGGTGTTAATTAGATTTATTTTAATGCTTCGCTCTTCTCGTGCATGTGAACTCCAACACGATCCTGAGATTGAGAAGACGGCTCGGGAGTTGAGGAAGGAAGCTAAATTGCATGACAAACAAGCATTTTCATCCTCATCCCCCAGATTTAATTTAGTACCTGACTTGGTAGATTCATCTAGTGATTCTTCTAGTGACTCTGAAGTAGAAGAAACAATGGATGAACAAGAAAGAACTTTAAGGGAATTGGCTGCACCAAATGTAAGTCAACAGCCACTCTGCATTACATATCCAGCTTTGGAAGTGGGTTTTGAGTTAAAATATGGATTGATCCATTTGCTCCCAACTTTTCGTGGTCTTGAGAATGAAGATCCTCATAAGCATCTGAAGGAATTCCATGTGGTGTGTTCAAGCTTGAAACCGCAAGAAGTGACTAAGGAACAAATCAAATTACGTGCTTTTCCATTCTCGCTGACTGAAAAAGCAGAGGATTGGTTTTTTTTATTTACCCCCTGGCTCTATAACCACATGGATGGAGATGGTGAGATTGTTTCTTGATAAATTTTTCCCTGCCTCACGAGCTGCTTGCATTAGAAGGGAGATATGTGGAATAAAACAAAAAGATACAAAGACCCTTCATGAGTATTGGGAAAGATTTAAGCAACTCTGTGGAAGCTATCCACAACATGGAATTTCTGAACAGCTCCTCATTCAATATTTCTACGAAGGGCTCCTACCCATGGAAAGGAAGATGATGGATGCAGCGAGTGGAGGTGCCATAGTGAACAAAACTCATTGTGACGCTAGAGATTTGATCTCCATCATGGCCGCTAACTCAAAATAATTTGGATTCAAGCAGGATACATCTCCAATAAGGGTGAATAAGGTAAGTATATCTTCCCTTGAAAATCAAATTTCCAATCTAACTTCTATTGTTCAACAGTTAGCTGTAGGAAATATGCAACAAGTGAAAGCTTGTGGAATTTGTGCTGCCATCGGTCATCCAACTAACATGTGCCCTACACTTCGAGATGATTCTTATGAGCAAGCAAATGCAGCTGGAGCATTTCCAGGCCCACCACAAAGGAAATATGATCCCTATTCAAATACCTACAACCCATGATGGAGGGATCATCCCAATTTCAGCTATGGAGCAAGACCACCATTCCAACACTTTCAGCCTAGACCACCTGCTCCACCACCACAACAAACCTCCACAAGTTCAAGTATGTCTCTAGAAGAAATTGTTAAATCACTTGCAACTAACACGCAGCAATTTCAACAGGAGACAAGAACAAGAATGCAAGAATTGGAGAATCGAATGAGTCAACTAGCATCTTCTATGAGCAAATTGGAATCTCAAGGTAAATTGCCCTCACAAACTATTGTTAACCCAAAAAAAAAAATGTTAGTGCAGTTACCTTGAGAAACGGGAAGGAGTTGAAGGAACCCAGTAAGGCAGCACGTGGAGAAGAAATTGAAAAAGAAGTAGTTGCTTTTCAACCTCAAACTGACCAGCCTAGAGGACTCGATAGTGAACAACCAAAGGCATTGGTGACAAATCCTCCCTTTCCAACTAGATTGACTAAATCCAAGAAAGAAGAGGAAGAGAAGGAAATTCTTGAAACTTTTCGCAAGGTTGAGGTAAAAATTCCCTTACTTGATGCAATTAAACAACTGCCTCGATATGCTAAATTTCTCAAGGAGTTGTGCACCAACAAGAGAAAGTTGAAAGGTAATGAGAAGATACGTATGGGGGAAAATGTTTCAGCCATCCTCCAGAAAAGATTACCTCCAAAATGCAAGGACCTAGGTATGTTTACTATCCCTTGCAAACTAGGTGATATTAGGATTGAGAAAGCAATGCTAGATCTAGGAGCTTCAATAAATATCATGCCTCTCTCTATTTATTCATCTTTGAATATTGGTCCATTAAAAGAAACAAGTGTGATTATTCAACTTGCTGGCATATCTAATGTATATCTTGAAGGAGTCGTGGAGGATGTGTTAGTACAAGTTAATGGATTGGTCTTTCCTACTGATTTTTATGTTCTTGACATGGAAGAAGATGACTCTTCTAATTCAACACTAATGTTATTAGGAAGGCCATTTCTAAAAATATCTAGGACAAAAATTGATGTGCATGATGGTACACTCACCATTGAATTTGATGGTGAAATTATTAAATTCAATATTTATGACGCCATGAGGTACCCTAATGATGTGTCTTCTGTTTTTGTTATGGATGTTATTGACCCGTTGGCACAGGAACAATTACAAAGGAAATTACAATTGCAAGCGTTGGAGGAAATTCGCAATGATGCCTATGAAAGCTCGAGAATATACAAAGAAAAGACCAAAGCCTTTCATGATGAACTAATTTCTAGGAAAACAATTTCTATTGGTCAGAAAGTTTTACTTTATCACTCTAGACTGAAGTTATTTCCTGGTAAATTGCGTTCTAGATGGGTAGGTCTTTTTATTATTACTAATGTATTTCCCTATGGTGCAGTTGAAATACAAAGCTCGGATACAGGTAAAACTTTTAAGGTCAATGGTCATCATTTGAAACCTTTTTATGAAGGTTTTCAAGTGTATAATGTTGATCAAATTATTTTGGAAAGTCCGAATTATGGCGATTAAGAGGTGGCAACATCTAGCCAAAGACGTTAAAGAATGGGGCTTTTGGGAGGCAACCCAACTTTTTGTCTTACTCTCCTTGTTTTCTTTATTTTATTTAGATTATTTTTAGTTTTTTTTTTTATCATTTTTCGGAGTGCATTTGATTTTCTTTCCAATTTGTTTGGCAGAAGATGATTTTCGTAACCCGTGGCACGCCTTATGGAAAATCTTGAATCATGGAATTGGGCAACAAACCAGACGAGATCTTTGAATACAATGTACCCACGCCTTACTCCAATTGTTCTCTTGCTACCTCCTTCACCCAGCTTAGTAGCCATCCATCTCGCACCATCTCGCCTCATCTCGCACCACCACCACGCGAGCCTATCGTCCACCCCCAACGCAGCAGCACACCACCTTCACCCCCAAGCATGTGACTGATATCTTAGTTGATGCTCAAACTTTTCAGGGGAGTTTTTTGCTTACTCTTGTTCTTTTATAGTTTTTGAGCATCTATTTTTGATACATTGTGGACAATGTATGGATTAAGTGTGGGGGAGAGTCTTTGACATATGAATTTGATACTACTTTGAACTTCACATTTAGCTCCCTTTTGATCAATTTCTGCGTCATTTTCCAAGAAAATTTTCAAAAATCCAAGTGATGCTTTAGTTCTTGTTCGTAATCCTTCTCTTCTAAGTTCTAGATTCTGTCGATGCTTATCTCAAATGATCTGGATTATTGTGAATTATTGAGATAAATTGAGGCGTAATAAGGGATTAGCATGAATAGTTGAATTCTTATTTACTACACAGTGATTAATTGCTCTTGATGATTGATTGAATGGAAAATGTGAGGGATCTAATGCACATGACCCTTTTTGTGCGCTTTTGAACCAATGAGCATTCATATTATATTATGCTCCATTTTCCTAATTGAGTGACAGTCATACATAGTTGATTTTTCTAGAACTTGCTTTGTTATGCATGTCAGGAGACTACATTGTTGAATTGGATGCATTGAATTAATAAGGGCATCTAGGTGGAGCCATTTAGCTTTCTTAAAAAGCCCGCCTTGATTTTTACCTTAGAAAGCCAATTTTAAACCTTGGCCCTTTTTGTTGGAAGTTAACCATGATATAAGCAATGTCAACCCATTCTTTTGTTGATTTCCCTCTTTTGAACCTTGAATTGAAGGATCATACTAGTTTGTTCAGATGAGGCTTCAAATTATCTTTGAAATGATTGAAAGATGCTGGGAATAAAGTGATTCAAGTTACAAGTGTCTTGGTTTTTCAAAAAAAAAAATTAAAAAAAAAAAAAAGAAGAAGAAAAATAGGGGGCCATGAAGAAAGAAAAGTTGTGCAACTTCAATTGTTTGGAAGTGAATTGATTGAAGAAAACATTTGACATTATTGAGTTGCGCTTTGTGTGAAGAAGTTGGTATAATTCCTTTGATAAAAGTACCTAAAAATTCCTTCTCATCACACCTTATCTAAGCCCCGTTACAACCCATTTAAGACCCATAGATTTTTTTGCATTCAATTCAATCAATTGATGGTAAAGATGTGATATATTAGCAAGCTTATGGTAAAGGTCTTCTATGTTTTGACTTGAGAGTTCATTGATACCTTAAACACTTCGAGCGTATTGAGTAAATCCAATGAGAGGGTGTTGGATCCTATTGCATTTTGATTTTGAGAAGATCATTGAGCTGATTGTTCATGGGTGTGGTTTATAAGAATTTACTCTATGAAATTGCGCGTTTCTTATTTGTCCTTATATTTAAATCTTTAAGGCATGATAATTTGGATTATAGAGGATGAGTAAAGGTAGAAGAAGGAACAATGATGAGAAAAGGTGATGAACTTGAGCTATTGTATGCTTGAGGACAAGCATTGTTTAAGTGTGGGGGAATTTGATAAGCATTCATAATATCTATATATTTGTTATATTTCCTCATGTTTTAATGGTTATAAATGCTTAAATATTGGATTTTGATTATGTTTCATATTTTGTGGAGTAGATTGAGGAGTTAAATCAAATTGAATTCAAAATCAAGAGTTTTGGAGAGAAAAAAATCGGAGCTCAAAAAGAGATACATTCCAGAAGCGGATTTTGCTTAAAGCGTGGGCACGTCTTGTTTTCCTAGAATGTTCATAAAAGCAGTCAGCAGATAAAGCGTGGGTGCGCCTTACTGGATCCAAGGTTTTTGACCTAGGGTTACGAATTTGTTGGAGAAAAAGATATGCATGATGGCTGGAAAGATTTATTTACCCTTTCTTAATCTCTAGGATTTGCCAAGACTCCCTATTTTGGTGGGATTTGCTTTTAATTAGTTTCCTGATCTAGATAGGGTAACTATTATTAGATGGAGTTATAAATAGGGAGATTATTCACAAGAAAAGGGGACATCTCTCTCCCCCTATATCTCTCTTCTCTTTTCTTTAGGCGTTCTCTTAAAAATTATGTGTAGCTAAATACTTTTCTTCCAACTAAAGGATAATTGAAGTTTTGGTTCTTCAAGGATTGTGAGATCTAAATAATTTTCAGTGTTCTTTTATTTCTTTACTATTTATATATCTTCTATGTTTATTAACAATTATTGTCTTGATTGATTGATGCAAAGGGTCCGTTGTTCAATTATCAGGTTGATAAATTGCCATTTAGAACTTTAAATCCGTAATTGTTTAAGTGTTCTAATATTAGTGGTGAAATAACATAGTTGATTATAAAGGGATTTTTTATTTATGTTATGAAGATGTATAATCTAGTCTAAATGAATTGAGCTTGTGTAATTGTTGGCTAGAATTGGTAGTCTCTCTAATTATTAATGTTGTTGATAGATTAAATCCTAAAAGCTTGTTTAGAGTTGTTTATTGACAAGGGAAGTAATCAAAGAGCTTGTTTTGGTTATCGAGAAAGTAAGGAGAGATAGGTTGTTAGAGCTTGTTATAACCATAACCAATTTAGTGAATAATAGAAGATTTTATCCTTGTATCTGTGATCAATTCTCTGAACCAATTCTGAAATTATACCTTCGGTTGGATATTTGCTTGATATTGATTTCCCCTTAATTTTTAGTTGATTATAATTGCTTTCTTTTTATTTCACTTCGAAATTTCAAAACCCCCCTTTTTCTTTGCTTTAATATTCATTAAAATAAATCTACCCAATCTCTGTGGATATGATCTTGCTCATCACTGTTACAATTTATAATTCTTTTGAGAGTGAGAATTTTATTATTTGTTGGATTCAACACCCACCAGGATGTTTGATAGATTCTTGGATATTCATATTCATATTTGGCTAATTTGACTAACCTCTTGACTTGAGGATGAACTAAGCTCCAGTATCAAGCTCTTTGGAGAATTAATGATGCCTGTTTCATTATTAGTTTTTGATATATTCATGGAGCTTGGAACTACAGTTCCCATCTTTCTCTCTGTGTTTGACTAAGAGTTTTTCCACCTACAACAACAACTTATACACCACCTGTTGAGCGATCGGAAGTGATCATTCCAAGTGTAGCCAGCCATTGCCTCACTAATAGGTGCTTACTTTAGACCATTGTTTGTTTATGAAATTTCATATTATTACTGATTTATTTCTGAACGTAAATTGATTCAGTTTTGATTCCTTTATTATGCGGCCAACCTTCGGCAATGATGGTCATAGTGAGCATTGATGGGGGTGACATTCAGAATAATTTAATGAACACTTCTTTTTTGGCGTAGACACAATATGAACATTTAAAATACATATATATATATATATATATATACACTGTCCATTTATTTTGTTTTTCTGTGTCTTATAAATAATGTTATATTGCAAAGTATTTACTAATGAAGCATATTTTATTATCAAAAAGTTGCAAACTTACATTCTTAGATAGGTTATACATGTTTTTGTTGTGGACTCTGTAGCCAATAATAGTTTGTGTTTTGTGGCAAATAGAGTTTGTGTTGGACGATGAAGGATGACAAGTTTTATTTTATTTTATTTTTGCTCATTTCATGGTGCTGGGTAGCCTCTTAAAATGGCGAAAGATTAATTGTTGGACCTCAAAGCAATGGTTATATTCCATGTAGGAACTACTAATTTTAAGAAGGGCAGAATTGTCATTTCAATTATATTATTATGTACCAAATTGTTGTAAGAAAAGTGTTGCAACTCTTCTTTTGCTTTGAAAAGGGAATATATCCTATCACTAAAATGTTCCAATATTATTTTATTCTTCAATTAATTAATTTATTTGTGTCAAAACCACTTTCATAAGTTGTGGGACTTTCAACTTCTATGTATTGAATTCAATTAATTCAATTCCTGCTGAATTACAAACTGACCTTTTCAATCTTCCATCACTTGCATTTTATCAAATTAAAAGAGGAATGTGAAAGATTTGTACTGCATACATTAATTGAATGCATGTGAATCATCCCTATTTTATCAACACCAATAAGCAGTAAACACAGGGACCAATTAAATATAAAAGCCCAATTTAAAAAAAAAAAAGAACAGTAACAAAATGTTCTATTATAATCAATATTTGACATATTTTTTTGTGAAACAATAATCATTTACAATTTCTTAAAATATAAAAATTCGATAATAAAATAAAAACAGTATAATAAATAAACCCGCACAACGCGCGGGCATGCCATCTAGTTCAACCAAATCGTGAGCCAAAAACTCACTAATTATAGCATCAAACCTGTCCATTTTTGACAATTCTCTACACTTCAAAAATTTCAACACAAAATCTTCTACAACTTCACCAAATCATCACATAACCATACACTACTTCTCATGGCTAGAATTAATATATCAATAAACATCAAAACCAGCCCATAATTCTCTCATACCATCACATACAAACATGCAAAAAAATTCATTCAACAAAGTCTTGCTCAAATTAAGGTTCAAATTAGGTTTACTTACCTTGAATATGTGAGATTATTTCCCTTTTGCTCTAAATCTCTTCCTCTTGGACCTATATCATATAAAAACCATAAAAAT